AACATTAAATTAACCTCAGCTTACTTGAACATCTTTACTTTATAAACTTTACAATTTTTAAATACTTTTTCACTCTTTTCTAATAATGCTTAGCTTAAAACAGAAACACATTGTACAGCTGTACAAAAATATTCTTTCTTTATATATTCTATAAGCATTTTTCTATTTTAACATTTTTAATTTTTAATTTTTTTACTTTTTAAACTTTGCTGTTAAAAACTAAGACATAAGCACATGTATTAGCCTAGTTCTACACCGGGTAAGGATCATCAGTATCACCATCTTACACCTCCACATTCTGTCCCACTGCAAGGTCTTCAGGGGCAATAATATGCATGGAACTATCACCTCCTATGATAACAGTGCCTTCTTCTGAATACCTCCTGAAGGACCTGCCTGAGGCTGTTTTACAGTTAACTTTTATTTTAATAAGTAGAAGAATTAAGTATACTCTAAAATTATGATAAAAAGTATAGTAAATACATAAATCAGTAACACAGTCATTTATTATCAATAGCAAGTATTATATACTATACGTAATGATACATACTGTGAAAGAGTTGGTGAAGGTTTGTTTACACCCAGTACCACAAACACTGTTGCATTGTGCTGTGACCTTACCATGGCTATCATGTCACTAGACAATAGGAATTTTCCAGCTCCGTTATAATCTTATGGGACCACCATTGTATATGCAGTCTGTCATTGACCAAAACGTCATTGTGCAGCACATGACTGTATTATTATTACCTTCATTTCACAAATGATGAATATGCTCAAGGTCACATGAGTGGTAAGAGGCTGAGCCACAGAAAATAAGTGCCTGCATGAGAGAGAGCAAGAGAGAGAGAGAGATGAGGGAACGATATTGAAAGGATCTAACAGGATCTGTTGCAAGATGACTCTGATTATGAGTATTTTCTTCTTTTTTGTGAATATTTTCTATGGTTTTTTTTTTCAGTAATGAGCCTGAGTTGTGTTCATACTTGGAATTTCTTAGCCTCCCAAATGTATTTCTTCTCCTTGATTCTTTCAGGATGGCCTTATATATATGGGAAATAATTCTGGCTCATGTGATCCCATGGTTGGTGGAATGGTAGAAAGATGTGTATCCATGCAGTGTCTTCTACCTCTTGCCAGGCTCTGCTGCAGAGTGGCTGGTCTCAGTGGCTCCTTGAATGGGTGAATACTGAGTTGCAATGAATCCTATCCTACTTTTTGGAGAGTGTTCCACTGTATCTGACCACGTGGACTTTGATCTTCTTGCTCTCCACTGTCAAACATTTCCTCTCCCCAGACCCAGACTCTACCTACCAAGATGCTCTAAGAGCCACAGTGCTTTCCTAAATCAGCATCTGGGCACACCTGAACTCCATCACTGCTTTGTGTAAGCTGAGGCATTAACTTTTTAGCTCACTCCTGCTGGTACCTCTGTATCGTCTCTCTGAATCTTGTTGAAAATGGCCATATGTCTGGCTTCTCTTAGAGCCCTCCAGCCTTCTCCAGAACACGTAAGCAGGTAGGCTCCCTCTGGATGATTCTTCCCCCATTATCGTTTGAAATCTTCCTTCTCCCATAGCTCATTCTTCCTTCTTCTTTCTATCAGATCGGGAATTTTCTTAAATAAATCTTTATGAACCAGTACACCAGGATTTACTCTTCATATGTTGAAAGACAGGATAAAGGAACTTTAAAATTGTATTCTTCCAAAATGCCCAGCTTTCAAAACCATCATTGCAAAAATCCTATTTTGGATGCCAGAAGAAGAATATTAACTTTATCTCATTATTTTCTGTTGCAACAATCTGAAACCTTTTCAGTAAATTAGTCAATTATTAAAAGGCTGCCCTTGAAAGACATAGAGGAGATCAGTTCAAGAACATTCAAAAACATAATACCTGTATTTGAATTTTGTTTGCACATTCTTATAGAAAAGGTTAAAATTAAGCAGAAAGATTTTGTGGTTAGGGAACAGGACAAATTATGAGGGCTCTCTGAGTTATAAAGAGCTAAATTAGGAAGGGCTTGGGAATAATGGTCAGATATTTTGCCTTTCTGTAAAGGTTTGTAAAAAATACTCCAAAACATTTTTTGAGAATGCTAGGTGGTGGGCTCTGAATGTGAGTGAGAACAGAAAGGCAAATTTGGAAACAGTCACACAAAAATACCAGTCAAATATGTAGGATACATTTAAAGAAAAGTAAATGAAGCCAACTTACATGAACAAAAAACAGGTGATAACGGAGAACCAGGTGCAACCACTTGCAACAGAAGTTATCAAGCAGAAGGAGCCTGAGCTTTGAGGTCAAACAGAATGCAGATTAAATTCTAGCTTTGCTAATTGCTAACAGTATTAATCAGACTTCTCTCTCTTACCATTGGGTTCTTTATCTAAAAATGAAGATGGTAATACCTAACTTAATGAGTTACATAGAGAATAAAAATCAAATAATGAGTGAATGAGAGTAAATAACATGTTTGAATTTCTCATAGCAGTGTTTGGCATGTAATAATGCTCAGTAAATGGTGGCTTAACAATGCACACCATCATCGCCATTATTACAAGAAGCAGAGAGTATATACATATTAAAATCTCTGGTCAAGGCCCAGAGAAAGCCATTAAAGATCATTACGAGAATGATGACTGGGAGCCAAAAAGGAAAATGGAGAGTAACCCAGACACTTAAAAGTACTCAAAGTGAAGATAAAAGGAAAATGGGAACACATGTGGGTTTCATATGGCCATGGAACCAGGTGTGGCAGTAAAATAAGACTCCACACAACTGCATTTAGAAAAGTCACCTTGTTTTCTCTGATGAGCCACACAGCTCTGAAGCAAGAGGGAAGCAGGGGAGGAAGAAGAGGAGAAAAACATGGTATTCACTATATTTAGATTTTACACTGATTATGGTAGCCGTGAAATCCTGTGCACATCCTCCACACACATCGCTTCAATATCCAGGACATAAAGCCTTTTCTGAGCACAGGATATGTTGCAACTTTGGTATTCTCATGTAGCTTCTGCACAGGCCTTGTGTCCCTTCTTGGTCTTCAATTTTCCCTCTCCCTGCGGGAGAGTTTTGACTATCAAAAAACCTTTACTAATTGCTATATGCCTAGTGCTGTGTTGGGGATGAGGCTTCTAACACATATTGGTGAGCAAGATGGCTTAACAGCTGTGTGTGGCATTTAAAGGACAGGGGAGGATGCCACAGTGAGGCTTTCTTTGTGAGAGCCCTCCAGTTGGCACAGTATCTAGGAGAGGTGCTCAATATTTACCTTCCATATAAGCCTGCTATTTTTTGTTGCTTCACTCTAGTTATTTGAATATGTACAGCCATCACCTGTTTGCAGCCTGCTGCCTCCCTCTTTGGGCTCTTTACTCCGGGAGCCCCACACAACTATGTGACCCATTAACTGACGTTACTTACTGGCTTGTTTGTTGTCTACCTCTCCACCAGGCAGGAGAGCTTTATGTGGGAACATTCCATCCTTGCATGAATAAAAGTTTGCTCACCTCCCCCAACAGCCCAATATATATGTCTGTTCCCACGCCATATATAGTTTCACAGCTGGGTTGCTATAATTATGACTGAGAATTATTTTTTATCTAAACTAAAATTACTATTTGCCTACAATCTTCTCAGCATGTTTTTTGTGGGGGAGGAGGGCTGAAATATCACATCTTCATCTATGCAGATCTGGATGTAACGAAGAAAAGCAATTTTGCACATTCAGAGAACTTGAAAATGAAAGTTTGCATTACTCAAAATATAAAAATGTTTTTCTCCCACAGTACAACTCCAGAAATCCTTTACTCTAATCATTTATTCTTCTATAAATCTTATGGCTAAAAGTACAAGCCTTTTAGCTTGATTTATTCTTCAATCCTCAAAGCAAAATATTCATTTAGTTAGTGCTTCATGCTTCAAATTACATTTATCAGCACATAAAAACACTAGCCAGTCTCAAATCCACCAAAGAGTTCTGAAACTCAAACATAACCGTGAAATCCAAAATCAATTTATTAGTGATAGTTATTTGCTAATAATTGGGGTACAACTTGATAGCTTTGATCCAGTCTATTAAGTATAGTTCAATAGACTAAATCCACTGTGCCAGGCAGAGGGGAGGCAAAGATGCTTCCAGATTCCTGAAGGTCTGGGCAGATGGCTGGGACACAAACAGATCATTTGACAATTTCAGTGCAATGCCTAAGTACTATGGCTGTCTTTTGCAGTGGTTACTTTGGGAATACAGAGAGGGAACATTTTCTCAGGAAGCAGTTTGGAGATCTGAAGGAAATGTCCACCAGAACTAGGATGAGAAAGATGTATAGTAATTAATGAGGTCAGTCAAGATGCAGATCTCAGTTCCAGCAAAGGAATTTCCCCCTTCCCCCCTCACCCCCCTTCCTTTGTATGAAGTAGGAATTAGGGAATGGTAGGAGATGACACCAGAAAAGTTTTAGGTTAACCATAAACCATTATTACAGTCAGCCATTTTGACCTAGAGAAACGGCTATTTCATATGGTTCTAACCAGTGAAGTTGGTCGTGGACAACTTTTGTATTAATTCCGGGTTAAGGAACTTGAGATTTATCTTGCAGAGAATAAAAAACTAATGAAGATTTTTAATCAGGCGAGTTTCCAGCTCAGTGCTGCATTTTAGACAGATCATTCTCACACACTGAGAAGGTGGCAAAGACCCATTTATTCCTGTCACCAGTTTCTCTCTCTCCTTTTCTCTCATCTGGGAACTGCCCAGGTGAGAGATGGAGGCCTACATCAGGATGAAGGCACTAACGCAGAGGAGGGAACAGATTAGAACATGTGATCACAAGATAAAACCTGTCAGAACCGGGGGCTGGAGTGAAAAGAGTTAAGTCCCAGGTTTCTGCTTTGTGTGACTAGAGGGAAGCTGAAGCCACTAACTTAGATGAAAAAAGAGAAAAGGAGCAGCTTTAGAGTTAAAAACAATGAGTATTTTTGACATAATTGATTATGATGTACTTGCGGAAAATCCAGAGAGTTGTCTAGAAAGACATTGGAATATAGGGGTCTAGTCCACCGAGAATTCTGGACAGGAGAAGGAAACATGGCGGCCGTAATATCATCAGGGTGAAGCGCGGGTAAGGCACGAGGGTGGGAAGCAGGCGGTCAAAAGCATGAGTGGCTGACACTGCCTAGAAGCATACGTTTTGTTGTTGTTGTTGTTGTTGTTGTTTTGTTTTGTTTTGTTTTGTTTTGTTGTTTTTTGAGACTGAGTCTCGCTCTGTCACCAGGCTGGAGTGCAGTGGCACGATCTCGGCTCACTGCAACCTCCGCCTCCCGGGTTCAAGTGATTTCCTGCCTCAGCCTCCTGAGTAGCTGAGACTACAGGCGTGCACCTCTACGCCCAGCTAATTTCTGTATTTTTAGTAGAGAGGGGGTTTCACAATGTTGGCCAGGATGGTCTCGATCAAGATTCACCTCGTGATCTGCCCTCCTTGGCCTCCCAAAGTGCTGGGATTATAGGCGAGAGCCACCGCACCCGGCCAGAAGCATACAATTTTCAAGGGGACTTTAAAGACTTAATGTTTTCTTTACATGCTTTTCAAGTGAAAAACCTTTACAAAAATCTTAGAAATCCAAAATATGTAAAAGAATTGCTTTGATTGCAATGGAGGCGACAGCTGCACAATCCCATGTGCTCAGGCTCCCTACTTCTTTTTCTTCCTGAGGCAGCCCCAGAAATCTTTGAGGAAAACAGTTGAAAGATGAGTGATCTAGACCTCTCTAGAGTGGTCAGAAAACTACCTTCTGCACACCAAATCCAGCCCCGCACCTGTTTTTGTGATAAAATTGTATCCGAACACAACCATGTTAATTTGTTTTCTTTTTTTTTTCATATTTGTTAGTCATTTGAATTTTTTTAATGACTTTTTTTTTTCTTTTTTTTGAGACAAGGTCTCACTGTGCCCCAGGCTGGTGTGCAGTGGTGCAATCTCGACTCACTGCAACCTCCGTCTCCTGGGTTCAAGCGATCCTTCCACCTCAGCCTCCTGAGTGGCTGGGATTACAGGCAAGCGCCACCATGCCAGGCTAATTTTTGTATTTTTAGATGGGGTTTTACCATGTTGGCCAGGCTGGTCTTGAACTCCTGAGCTCAAGCAATCTGCTCGCATCAGCCTCTCAAAGTGCTGGGATTACAGGCCTGAGCCACTGCACCTGGCCTAATGATTCATCACTTTTGTCAGTCATTTAAATGACTGAATTTTTGAAATTTTTAAATGAGTTTTTTAAAGTTTTATTTTTATTTGACATATAATAATTGTACATGTTTATGGTGTACAGGGTGATGTTTCAATCCATGTATACCACTTGTTTTATTATTGTCTACCTCTGCTTTCACACCACAACAGCAGAGCTGAGTTGTTACATGCACTATATGAACCTCAGAGCCTAAAATATTTACCGTCTTTCCTTTTAAGGAAAAAGGTTGCTGACCCCTCATTTAAACTAAATCTTTTATTTTACAAATGAGAAAAGCTGAGGTCCAAAGAGTTTAAATAACATCTGACAAGCTGCTCAGGCTAGAACCTAAGTCTTGGGATATAGACCCTGCTGTCTTTGTTTTTAAAAGGGAGAATTAGTCATCAACGTGCCAGAAAGTGAACTGTGTATGTGCCCATCCAAAACAAATCTCATAACAACTTTTTTTCCCTATTGAGCAAGGTGTAGTTTTTAGTATTTTTTTAAATTGTTGCTATTAGCCCTGAAATAAATTGAAAACTTCCTTTATCCCATCTGTCTGAGGTAAAACGTTGAATTTTAGTTTGGTTTAGTTTTTGTTTGTTTGGTTTTTTTTAACTAATTATCCTGTTACTAGTTGTTCTTCCCTAATTCAAAGACCAGTTTTAAGGTCGAGCATGGTGGCTCATGCCTGTAATCTCAGCACTCTGGGAGGCTAATGCAGAAGGATCACTTGAGTTGAGGAGTTTGAGACCAACATAGTGAGACCCATCTCTACAAATAATTTAAAAATTAGCTGGATGTGGTGGTGCATACCTGTGGTCCCAGCTACTCAGGAGGCTGTGGTGAGATGATTGCTTGAGCCCGGGAGGTGAAGGCTGCCATGAGCTCTGATCACACCATCACACTCCAGCCTGGGCAAAAGAAGGAGATTCTGTCTCAAAAAAATAAAATAAAATAGATATTTTTAAAGACAAATGTTATTTTTAAATGTGAAGTACTGTGCACCCTCTCTTCCAAAGTAATATGGGTTGAAAAATTAGCTCCCTAATGTAGAGCCACCAGGATGGCTCACAGAGGTACAACATCTGCTCCAGGTCAGATTGTACCCTCTTTACAGCCTTGTATATGCTGTATATAGTCCTCTATATGCTGTATATGGATCCTACCCAGCCCATGGTTCCCACCCTCTCCTCATCGCATTTCATTCATGCATTGCTCCTATTAGAGGACAACATGTAAGAACTGGGGCCAGAAACAAGCTAGGAAAAAAGAATGCAGAACCTTCAGCCCTGAGAGCTGAAGACATGGACATGAGGCGTGAGGGGCGGGGAAGAAAGCGAAGGACCTGCCATTTCCAACAGGTGCAGGCACTTGCAGTCCCGCCTCTGTGTCCTCCCCCTCTATGCCATCCGGTCTTCCACATTTGCTCAAAGAAAGAAACACAAGGCAGGAGGCACATATCACAGAGTTCTAAATGAAGTTCAGGCAGCACCAACTGGGAAGTGGAAAATTTCCCACAGTTCACCAGAAGGAATTCTAGTGTGGTCCGTTAGAGATCTGGAATTGAAGAAACATAAATTCAGTCCTGGTCCATACGCTGACAAAGCAAATTGAAAACTAAACTACTCCACATTCCTCGATAGATATCCTGTATTTTCAGAGCAATAAATAGAACATAGAAACATGAATTTTAAGCAATTTTTTGTCGTGCTTCTTTTAAGGATGATTGGGGGAAGTGATTATTCACAAATGAAAAGGAAAGGGCTATTTTTATAGAGAAATACAAGCTTTCTGCTGAAGTCTTTAAAAGTGTTAGGGTAAAATTCCCAGTGTTTAGATATATTTATAGATCACATGAAGTGGGGGAAGAAGAGTGTGAAGAATAGAATAAATTTGTAAGATGAGTCATTTAACTCTTTTTTTATAAATGTACCAACCCACTTAATACACCCATTCCCAGTCTTTTTGTGAATCATTTGTTTCATTTCACATTTTAACCCTGTTGAGTTTACGTATGATAAAGAAAACCATATGGAAGATGAAATTCAGACTTGAGGTGAATGTTTAGAATCATGCACTTATTTATCAAATACTTATGGAGTTGCTTACTACATGCCAGGAATTGTTTTAAGAGCCTCATATGATTAACTCTTTCTTGAGTACTTATGAAGTACATCTGAGAAAGAACTAAGCACTAAAGTATAAAAGTTGATACAGGAAATACTAGGAAAGTTACAATTCAAAAAAGTAATGCAAGCAATATATTAACAACTGGCACCTTTATTTTACTCACCTTACTTATATAGAGCAGCTCCTCTCCTGAACATTTTGTTCCTTTGTTCATGGTATTTTGGTGAGGAAAAGAACTCCACGTCTCAAGGCTTGCCTAGCTTTAGTACTTCCTCTCTCCAAGGGGATGCTTGCATTAATAATTTTCTCACTGCTGGGATTATAAGGAAAAAAATTGCTTACATTTGTATGTTGCTTTTTTATTTTATTTTACTTTAAGTTCTGGGATACATATGCAGAATGTGCAGGTTTGTTACATAGGTATACATGTGCCATGGTGGTTTGCTGCACCTATCAACCCGTCATCTAGGTTTTAAGCCCCATATGTATTAGGTATTTGTCCTAATGCTATCCCTCCCCTAGCCCCCACCCCCTGACAGGCCTCTGTGTGTGATGTTCCCCTCCCTGTGTCCATGTGTTCTCATTGTTCAACTCCCACTTATGGGTGAGTACATACGGTGTTTGGTTTTCTGCTCCTGTGTTAGTTTGCTGAGAATGATGGCTTTCAGCTTCATCCATGTCCCTGCAAAGGACATGAACTCATCCTTTTTTATGGGTGCATAGTATTCCACGGTGTATATGTGCCACAGTTTCCTTATCGACTCTATCATTGATGTGCATTTGGATTGGTTCCAACACTTTGTTATTGGGAATAGTGCTGCAGTAAACATACATGTGCATGTGTCTTTATAGTAGAATAATTTATAATCCTTTGAATATATACCCAGTAATGGGATTGCTGGGTTAAATGGTATATCTGGTTCTAGATTCTTGAGGAATCGCCACACTGTCTTCCACAATGGTTGAACTAATTTACACTCCCACCAGCAGTGTAAAAGCTTTCCTATTTCTCCACAGCCTCGCCAGGATCTGTTGTTTCCTGACTTTTTAATGATCGCCGTTCTAACTGTTGTGAGATGGTATCTCATTGTGGTTTTGATTTGAATTTCTCTATTTTCTCCCATTCTGTAGGTTGCCTGTTTACTCTGATGATAGTTTATTTTGCTGTGCAGAAGCTCTTTAATTTAATTAGATCCCATTTGTCAATTTTGGCTTTTGTTGCAATTGCTTTTTTGCTTTTTTAAAGTTCTTTTATGTTTGTATGTTATTTCACAGGTTTCTATGAAAACATTTATGTAAATATGCAAATTAATAATACCCAAAATTTATTTAATTATAATATTTTTACACTTCCCAATTACTAAGAACTTTCCATAGATATATGATAGCTGTTTCCTATAATTGCAGTATCCCCAAGTCTTCATTATTTTCTTTTCATCTACCAGAATCTTCTCTTCAAGAGCGTGTGTTATCCTTTTTGTTGGATCTTCCTTTGGAACTTTTACCTGTTTCTGACTGCTGTGTTTCCACTCAATCAATAACTTTATTCACACAATTGTGATTCTGTTTTCCTTCATTCATCAATTTGCCCACATGTAGACAACTTTTATTCAGAGATACAGAGACCAAGTATTGTTGCCTTTCCTCCAGCCTCTCTCCATCTTTTGGTAAGAAGTTTGCCCTGAACACTTCATTGCTGGCCAGCAGTAGGCCGTGTGAGCCTCCCATGCATGGCTACCATGTGAGCATGTCAATTTCCTGAGCA